TACATGAACTCTATTTTGTATACAACTAGAATTACACATATTTGTGTGATTCGCCAGTGCTTAACAACATTTAGTCCATATCACTAACTGATGAATCACAAAGTGCGTGGCTCAAACCCATAACTTTAGAAATACAACAATCTTCTTTAACTGAACCATGGTTCTTACAATCCTCGAAACTCCTTAAAAACCATTTTTTCATTCCCTATTAGTCTATGCTTTCACTGAATTCACCCACCCACCAATATTGCAATACATTAGAAAAACATGAGATTAAATATAACTGGTGCTAACTTTACATCTAGCATCAAGATTCAGTTGCAACTTCTATTTTGTTTCAGGATTTGATTTCACCTAAAGCTACAATATATTCACCCCTCCTTCTGTGAAAGCTATATTTAACCTTGTGTTACTTTTTTCATCTAAGGTCAAGCTTTTCTTCATGAATCTTGTTCCAAATGAAAACACTAGATCCTAAACCACCAACACAATAAATGTTTACCTTTCAGTTTATGACAAAGAAAGTCATTGGAACACTATAAAGGGCCCTTTTTGAACAAAATGTAATGCATTCCATGACTGAAAATAGGAAAGCAAATGATTAAAACACTTCGCATTCTTTATCATAATCTTCAATCAATCTAAGGGTTGTTTGGGGTAGTTGAGGCTTATTAAAATATAGCGGTAAAGCTGCTAAAGAATAATCAGATGTTCAATAAGCTATGGTGGTTACAACAAAATTTTTTATTTTTTATTTTGAAAAAGTCAGATCGTAACTAGAAAGCTACCATCGCACTTATCTAGAACCAGTGAGAAAACACAGATTTCAACAGCAACTTTTTGAAAAAAATGTCAAAACGCAATTCACCCAAATAAATAAAACTGTGGAGAGGTGTCGCACCGCCGCATCAAAGGGAACCTAGATCTCACTCTTGCTAATAAAGAGCAGTATCAAGGCAAGCTTAAAGTTACCCAACTAAATTTTTTTTCGCACAACTGTTTATGCACTTAGTGAGTTAATTGGTAATTCTCACTTTCAGGGTGAAATTAGTGTCATAGGATCTAGATGGCCTTCAAACAAAAGACTTTAAGGTGTTTAATGGCGTTATTTTCATTGATGAGATATCTTTTTACATCTCCAAATCACCCTCTAGTTATTTTATTACATTTGAAGAATAATGAAGAAACTATATTATCTTATTTCTCACTTTTTAGACTACAATCTTTTCCCTTATTATATGGGAGACGACTAGAGAAAACATAATTAAAAATATTACAACTTACCAAAAAATAAAATAAACACAAAAAAATACATATAACATAGTAAGAAAAAAAAAGAGAATAAAGCTGAAATAGAAAACTCCCAGAATTCGATACTCCCCTTAAAGTTGGGTCATAGATGTTGTAAAGACCCAGCTTGATATTCAAATTAGTGAAGCTGCATGTAAGCAAAGATTTAGTGAAGACATCAGCAACTTGAACATGAGTTGGAATGCAGATTTAAGCAAATAATGCCACCATTGACTTTTTCAATGATAAAATTTATAACAATCTCAATGTGTTTGGTCATATCATGATGCATAGAATTCTTTGTAATACTAATGGTGGTTTCACTGTCACAAAACATCTTTATGAGATCGATTTTGTGGAGTATATCAACTCATTTAGTAACCTTTGGACCTCCATTCCTTCATAAATTCCCATAGCAAATGCTTGGTACTTTTATAATGCACTACTTCTAGAGACCACTGTATGCTTCTTATTCCTCCATGTGACAAGATTTTTCCATACATAAGAACAATACCTATATGTGAATTTTTTTTCCTTGAGTTCTCATGCCCAATTAGCTTTAATGTAAACCTCTACCTCCTGATTGTCTGATTTCTCACCCAATAACCCTCTATCAAGAATCTTATTAAGAAATCTCTATACTATACAGACTATCTCCAAATGTTCCTCATTTAAAATATTTATATGTTGACTCACAATGTTGAAAAAATAAATGATGTCAGGTCTAATGAATGACAAGTAGATAAGCTTTCTCACCAATCTTTAGATTTATATTTTTCCATTGGTGTCCTTTCTCCTCCAGAATGTAACATTTTGTTGTAATCCATAAATAGTCTCAACATGTTTACACCCCATAATTTGTCTCTTTTAGTAGGCCTATGATGTACTTTCTTTGGGATATCACAATACCCTTCTTGGACCTGGCCACTTCTATGCTCATAAAATATGTCAAAGCTCCTAGATCCTTAAATGCTTGTGCATTATTAACATTTTTGTGTTAAAATCTTATATTTAGAATTTTTAATTTCATGATTAATTTTAAAATTGATTGAAATGTTTTATTTTTAATCATTAGCGAGCTAATGAGTTTTTATAGAGCAAAGCATGCGTTTAACTTTATCGTAAAAAATGATAAGTATTCTTAATTATTTCAATTTTTCTTTCATTTGTCACACTATTAAATTCAATTAGTCCACATTCTCAACTCATTTACAAGTAAAAGCACAAAAAATTATGACATCCTCTCAACATCGTCCTCATTTAGGGGACTGCATTGAGCTGTCTGAACTGCCCAACTGTCTACAAGATGCACTGGTCAATGTTGTGAGATACTGCAACCATAGAGGAGTTTTTTAACCTACTGATCTATAAGACACATACAGGTCTTCAATTATCCTATAGAAAAATGACATAAGCATAAATTTTCTGATCTGGTTGGAATAACCCTAACAAGTATTTAAAGTTTCCATGGGTTTATACTTTTTCTTGTAAGACAATGACGATGGCTGCAAAATGAGATCGACGGCGGGTCAATGAATTACCACACGATTCTTCCTTCTCTCTGCCTCTTGGTCTCTTTATAGCTCTTATTGTTATTATATATAAATATATATATAGAGATTCTCAGCTTGGGATTGCATGTCAGGCAGAGTAAAATAGGGAGTGAACAGGAATAGGGTGTAGGTTTTTGCTTTATATTGTGCAACTAAGCTTGCAAATGGGGAAGGGCGCAGTGATCCATGTGAATAAGAAAGGGAAAGTAGCAAAGTAAGATTTGTTGCGAGTTAATTCACCAAATAAGGTAGGAGAAGGTGGCTTGATCTAGGGCAGAAAAAAGGCAAGTGCGTTCAACTGAAGTTCACAAGGCAGGGAGGCTCAAGCGGGCTTCTGAATAACACAAACACTAGGTGATATTGCAAGAGGGCTACGATTTCTCTTTTGGCAAATGGAACAAAGAAGTAGGGAGTTGCGATTACTACTTTTGTGGAGGTTTCCACGGGGAAGAGTTTACAGGATTTGGATCATATCTGAGCAGAAAAAGTGGGAGTTTTGAGAGGACTTTATACACAACGAACCTCTAGGTGCCTTCCTATTAGCCCTAGCACAATTGAGGCAAAGAAAAAAAGGGAGCGTAAATGAAGGGAAGACACGATTTTGAGGGATGGTGGAGTGGTTAGATTCTGTTGTTCAAATAGAAATGAGCAACGGAAACCTTCATCGGCAGAGATTCTGTCGTCGCCTTTCCGACTAGCCTTAACTGTGACAATATCACGAGAATCATGATCGCAACAGGGAAGAATGAGCTTTGACTATAGTAGGTAAGGTAAACGAGCAGGACAGTTTGTCTCTATCGGGTTTTTTGTTGTAGCCGAGAGGTCCCACTATCCAGAAGGGTGTCAAATTCGTTTGTAATAGGAAAGAAGGTACGGGAGCATCATAATTGGGTGAAATTGGCAGGAGTATGTAGAAATTCTAAACTTAATTACTTATTTTCCCCAATTTTTATTTTATTTTAAGGGACAACACGAATGAGAACATAAAGGTCTTCCAAGAAAAAAGAAAAGAAGCGAAGGCTATATGGTTTAACAACTTTCTGTAGCCTACTTAAAGATTTACAGATTCAAGGGTGAAAAGTTAGAATCATCAAAGAAAACATGAGAAATAATCCAATGGACCTGTTTATCAGATATGTTTAAATACTCTTTTTCACTAAATTGTTATAAGTGATTTGTATACGTTTCATAACTTGTAATCTCTTCTTGTATCTTTTTCTTTTCCTGTTTTAATGAGGACTTTGTCCCAACTTTTTCAACAACAATGGTTATAATATAAACATAATATATTGCAAATATTCATTTTATGGCAACCCATTATTCCTGCATGAGATCAGCATGTAAGACCTTACTGAGTAAAGATTGTAGAAATTTCTAACGAGTAAAGTTGATTATCAATACATCAATTAGCTTCCATCTTCAAAACAAACTTTTTCTCTAACCCCTCAACTATGTGAGCAGAACCAAGAAAATTAGAAAGAGGCCCTCTAGCAACCATAAGAGAAAAGGAAACAAAATGGTAAAATAGGAGATGCAAAAATTTAAATTACTCATGCCAAGTTATACTGCATATGTTAAGAGAAAAGGATAATTCTATAGTTGGCGTAGCTTGACCCGATAAATGGAAATTAAATAAAATACAGAGGAGCATTGACTGCCGTCCCCCCAACTACAGCTATAAAAAACGCTATAAGTTCAACGACAAAAGAACCCATTTCCAAATCATTACCTTTTAGTTTAATTTACTGAATAGGCTTCACATATATTCAATAAAAGGCGCAAGTTGCAAGGAAATTGCATAAACATGATTTGCAGTTGAGAAGCCTATAAATATAACAGAAGACTAGCCAAGTAAACAGATAAGCAATAGAGGCCTCATAAAAACTAGTATAACCTCAGATAAGTAGATGAAATAGAACATAAATATTATTTATGTATGCAGATAAAACCAAATGCATGCATATACAGAATTGTTACATAAAATATGACACCAATATATCATAACCAACCATACAATACAATAGTCAAACAATTTGTAGCAACATCATAAAAAGTACAAAATATTTATGCAAAAAATAAATTATTTGTACTCTATCACGCAATTCAAACATGGAAATTTAAGCTCATTTGTGTAACATGGCAGTAGAGTTATCGTACCGGAAATTAGAAGAGCTAAGAATGGAAATTGCAGGTCTCTATCTACCAATCTGAATAAATAAAAGTTAGAATAAGTAAACTAAACATATATAGCATAAATGGTATTCAAATCACCAAAATAGTCCATGACGCTGAATAGAACTTGCGAACATTTTTCTTCAACAAGAGAGTTGCATGAGCAATATAATCCTTGATGATCTTTAATAATTATTAAAGGTAAATAATTTTTATCCATGTTTAACTGAAATCATTTCAAGCAGTATAAGATGCGCATGGACACTTTAAGCAGATGAGAAGTTGCTTATTTGGTTCTACGCAAGCATCATGGTAAAAAGCAGGAGACAAAATGTAAAGGTAAATTCTAGTGATCAAAAAGTGCAAATCAGGGTGCCAAGTAATGTAACTAATCAAATAACACAACAAGTTGTGTGAATAAAGGACACTGATTTTAGTAGATTTTTTCAAACCTAGCAACTAGAGCATGAGCTTCCATATGATGAACTCCGACGATAGGCAAATTGAACCTTCCGGCAACTCTGCGAGCCTTAGTAACACCGACTATATCAAGGTATAAGGAAAATTATTAACCAATAAATACAAGTTGTTAATTAAAAATAAAGGATAGCAAAATGTGGATACTCCACAGTTTTGATACATGAAAACTTCGAAGTTCTTCATTATTCCAAAACACTTCAATGTTCTGAAGACTTAGGAAGTTAAGGTTTAAAAGACATGCATCCAAACAAAAAAAAAATTGGACATCAAGATATAGTTGTACAAAAAATTCAGTTACCCAACAAAAACTTGCTTCACAAAATAGAACAACTTACAATTATATGACAGATGATATCAACCAAAATTCCTTAGCTTACTAAAGCACCAAGATAAGATGATCTTTGAAGTTGAAGTGTATTTAGCAATAGCATGCTAATGCATGTTCTTTAGTTTATTGAATTCTCTTGTAACTTCGCTTTCAATAAAATGTTGGCATTAAAACCATTAATATCTTTCTAGTGGGTAACATACCACAAAATTTTGGCATATACAAGAAAAAAACTTATTATTGAAAGGCATTCAAAATTCTCAGATGATCACCACGCAAACAAAGACTTAGACCAGGCCCAATAGTAACAGCGACACCGGTGAGATCTTTCTCTGTCAATTTTGAAGATTGTAGGGTCTTTTGAACAACCTACAGAAAACAGGATGACAAGTCATTGAGACAAAAAATCAAAGATGCGTTGAAAAGAAAAATAAATGTCATTTGAATTAAGAAAAATGAAACCTCATCAATAACAAGTGAGTGTGCTTCTTCGGCCATTTTGGGAGACACACCTCCATAACGGGAAAGAAGATCTTCCTGTTGAACATTGTGCTCTTAGTAGGTTTGATAAAAATTGGCATGACAACAAAGCAATTACTTTTCCTTTCCACATAACTATAGACTAATTAATCAAAATTAGGAGTGTAAATGAACCAAGCCGGCCCGTCAACGAGCTCAAAAGCTGAGCTTATCGAGCCATGAGCTCAAACTTGAGCTAGTTATTAAACGACCTCGAGCTCGTCTCGTCTCGACTCATTGGCTCATGAGTTGGTTCGATTAGTCAATTATTAATAATTTCGATACATTTTCCAGCGAGTATTCAATGCATACTTCTATTCCTCCAACCACCAATATCTTTTCTAGTTATCTACCGTAAAAATTATATTTTTAATTCGAGCTCGCGAGCCAACTGCTATCTTTACAAGTCAAGCTCGAGCTCACCATTCGAACTCGAGCTTACAATTTCGTAAACAATTCGAGCTCGATAAGAGCATGGCTCGAGCTCACGCTTGACTCGTTTACACCCCTAATCCAAATACATTTAGAAAAGAAAATTCTCATTTTTTTTTCTTTCAACACTAAATATAAACCAACCATTTAAAAAGCAGTTACCATTGAAAAGTATAAACTAAAATGTGGAAGTGATTCACTCATGTCCACTAAATAACCTTATGATGACTTGCCGCGGTAGGAAAACTTCTATATGCATAATTAAAAGTTGAGAAATGTTGTTACACTTGCCCCCTCCCCCCAAACAAAAATAAATCGCATATTTAAAACTCGATTAACTTTTAATTAGGTAGACTAATTAAAATACTCTGCAAGAAAGAAAAGCATGGCACTCTTCCCATTTTGACCCCCGATAATTCTAGGCCTAGCAATACTCAATAGTCCCTCTTCTTAGATTAGTTTCTCTTTTGTTATCTGAAAACTTCTATTATTATTATTTTTTAACTTTTCAATTATCGGGACTCCTGAATTTTAGATAAGCAACGAAATAATATGATAATTGACAGCAATAATAGGCAACAATAAGTGGTGCAATGACAAAGCAACGCTAGCAAACTAGTGGAAGGATAGGAGAACGGAGGGCTAATAACTTCGTAGTGGCTAGAATACACTATAGTGGGCTATTATACCTAAACCCAACTTTAAAATGCTACAGTGTATCTGACAAAGGAGATGGAAAAAGAATTTGATTGGAAGGAAATCCTATGCCTTATTGATAGATCATTTTGCAAGAAACCAAGCCTTTAAAGAAGTAAAATATAAAAACAATATATACTTATTCCTAATCAAATTCCATAGAGAAAGGACATCAATCTATAATCAACTAACTCAAAAAATTCAAATGAATGATAATTCCTGTAATAATTATAAAAAATCTAAATTTAAATCAAATAAAAGTTCATCTAAAATAAGTATAAAATTTTAAATTCATACTTATCTTGATGCAAGTTAAAATTAGATCCAAAAATCCATATTCTAGAGCCTTGATCACCTCTAATGATCCAATATTAAGGATCTTATCGTGCCTATAATAGTTGATGACGTTTTCTACTTTAATGGTGTGATATTAGAATCATCACTATCAATCCTTTTTATAGAGCAATCAAACTATTAAAATTTCAACAACATGATCAAATCACGATCATAAGAGCGTCTAATTGATCAACAAGCTAATTTCATACCCAAATCAATGTTATAACCATAACTCTAACATTATACAATTCTTTATTATAACATTCTTATACTTATCAAGGTCAATTTTATTATCAACCATTTTACTATTAAACACTAAAAATCATTAATGATAACTACACTAATCATAGTTTTGTAAAACTTACATTCTCCATAAAACTTGCATTGCATAGTACCCCTAGCTAACCATTATCTTTAACCTATAGGCCATGCCCACATCAATGCACGTATTCTTTTTTGTAACAAATCCAAGGTATTTGATCACTCCTAAAGTCTCCATGAATAAAAATCTTGTTAAATATTCTAAGCAAACTAATCTATTGGGATGGAAATTCATCATGTAAAATAGGGTTATTCGGGGCCTCCTCACCCATATCAACAAGTATATCTTCTAGCCTCAAACAAGTACATCGAGGGAAAATAATTGTCCTTGAAAGCATTTGTCTCCAAGCTACAACGCCCTCCTTAGTGTTATAAATGGTTTATTTTCAATTATAGATATTCTTGTATTCACCAACACCTTAGTCTCTTCACCACACCTATAATTGGATGGTTTTCTAGCAATGTAGTGATGAATCAATTATCAAGAGAACCAAATCAATTGCATGATTGCTCATGTATCCATCATCCACAAGAGTATGCTATAGTGCAAAACCATCACCAAAATTTTTTAATAACTAAGAAACGCTATAAGTTAGCAAAACATGTACAACACCAATTCAACTTTAGTGCCACCCTATAGCCTGAAAAACTTGAAATATAAAGTAAAGCCCAACTTAAATATTAAAAAAGGTGACAAAAACAGAGGAGACAATTGTTCATTTGTAATGATAATAATTTGGCTTGAAAATCAATTGAGTTATGAGTTCATTCAACTAATTTCAAGTCTAATTATGAGTCATTATCTCAACTTGAGCCTTTTTTGAGTTGATTTTGAGACGTATGTAGATTGCTCAAAATGAGATTTGAGTTCTACAGGATAAAGTAAGACTAGCCATGTTTATTTTGAGTTTGGGTCCACTCCAACTCACTCAAACATGATTTGGTGTCAATCCTACTCACCTGGCAGGTTAAATAAGATACAATGAGATGGGGTGGTAAGAAAATGAAAGCATAAGTGAACAACAATATGATATGAACAATGTTGAATTCTATGTTGCCTTAGATAGAATAGCAAAGTAACTGTTATATTACACTTTTGCAGACAAGATACCATTTTTTTAATTATATGCCAAATTTGTGAAACATATTAGCTAGTTAAGTGTTGAAGAAAAGAAGACGTCAAAGCATTTACACATATAAACCCAATTACATTTACACACATACCAACCAATTCTATGAATTTACATATCTCACACAAACTTTGGTTTTTACATCTATAAAACCAAAATCTTTCATATTACATAAAAAATGCCATTATTTTTAACTTTTAAAAAGTGAAGCACACCATTTCATGCATAGTTAAGATGGCATCTATGTAAAAATTGAAGTTTATGTATTAGATATGTAAATACATAAGAATTTAATGGTATGTATGTATATCTTCCATTAATGGGGGTCATTTGAGTTTCCAGCAATCTCCCTCAAACAAAAAACTCAGTTGAACAGTGATAAAGAAAATGAAAACTTACTTGAGAAGATACAACCTGACCGAGTACTTCCCCATTGCCCGTAACCTTAATAATAATAAGACAAAATAAGAAACAAGCGCAATAGCATAACAGCCGCGAAAAAAAAACCTACTATTTCGACCGCAATAACTCATCAGAAGAAACCAAATCAAATGAAAATGAATGCCACAAAACCATCGAGGATAACTTACAACAGCAGCTGCTGTATCATCGCAGCTCGTCTCAATGCCAAGAACAACCAAATCCTCGCGATCCAGGCTGCGGCTCAAACCCCCGCGTGCAACAGCATTTGAGGAAAAAGAGAGCCGCAGAAGTCTAGATTGGGGATATAAGGAAATGTAGCGAATTTTAAAGGATGGCCGATAGCAACGTATGTAGTTTGCCGAACAAGCAGCTCCTCGCCCTTTCGCGAAGTAAAGACTGGAGAGACGAGCGAAGCTGGAGGTGAGTGACGAAATAAGAGAGCCGGCCATGTAGAGTTGTCGAAGGAAGATGAGATGCTTTGTGGATTGTGGTGTTGTCTTGGTGCGGATGCTCCCGACCATTACTTTTGCAACTAGTGAAAGATTACAATTTACAAAATTAATTGTCATATATATATATATATATATATATATATATCACTAAAAATTGTGAGTGAAGCATGTGTTTTGTGCAAGAAGCACTTTGTCATGGTTGCGTGAAGTGTAGCATAAACTCGTACTGGCAAAATGGAAAATAGTAAATGTGTTTAACTTAGCGGATGAAATTATTTACATAATATAAAAACTACTTGGTGATCCATTGCCTTCGCCCACACAGCTACAATTACGGGTGTGTTTGGGCCAGTTTGTGCATTTCAGGATAAGTCACAGGTCGCGGGGTCCGCGTTTAGTATAAAAACTCAAACGCGGTTCCGAATAAGCTGGTGAAACACGCAAACCAAACGGTACGGCAGCATTTAGATAACGTCGCCCGCACTTTTAAGCTACTGCAAGCGGACCCTACAACTACAACCTCAATTTTTGTTCTTTCAATAGCTCTAAATTTTAAGCATCAACATTTTTTTTCTTTCAATTTATTTTATTATTATTATTATGTTGAAGGATACAATGATTTTATTTGTTAATTTTGGTACATATTTTTGAAGGACTTTTTTTCCTACCTATTTTTTTCATTTATTTTTATTGAGTGGTAAGCAAAGTGATATACTTGAACTGATAATGTGATATTTATTTTTTTATTTTTTATTGCTTAAGGTTGTTGGAGCATAATTTTTTTGCTCACTAAAATGATTATTAAGTGTATTCATTGAATTTATTTAAAATTAGGGTTGATCTTTTTCATTATCTTAGAGGCAAAATATTAAAATTTAGTACCTTTTGAATTGTACTTAGGTTAGTCTCTCTCAACATTTTTTATATGCAAAATTTTAAAAGGGAATTTACATACATATCATTAAATTCTCATGTATTTACTTATCTAACACTAACTTTCATATTTACATGACATTATACTTAAATCTTGGATATCACATAAAAAAAAATACAACTATTACTTGCTTTTTAAAAATGAAATATATTTATTTCTTGGATAAGTTTATTACACCAAAATGTAAGAAATATGAACATAAAGGTTTATGTGTTAGATGCATAAATACATTAGGATTGTGTGGAATGCATGTAAACTCCCCCAATTTAAAAGTTGCCACCCTATTAATAATGATTTTAAAACAATCATCGCAAATATTTTTATAATGGATTATTTTATTTACTTATATTATTTAATAGGAAGTATTAATGATGAAATTTGTATTGATTACTTATATTATGATTTTAGCTTGCTCATATAATGCTTTATTTATATATTGTCAATATGACAACTTAATGCTTAAGACTTGTTTATTAATTTATCTACAATTAAGAATATGGAAAGTTTTCAATTTCATTATTTATTTAATAGTCAAGTATTGGATTAGTGAGTTTATTGATTTATTCCATTATTTGATATTTACTATTAGGTTATGGGTGATTCGAACACAAGGAAAAAAGTTCATTTTATAAATACATAAAATTGAAAAACTTAGTCAAGCATTTTTTTGTCACATATGTATTTATTATGGAAAAAAGATGAATATAGGTATATTTTTAACTAAGGAACATCTTGTTGATTTTTCTAGTGTATCTAAAAAAATATTGTTATTAAATGTGAGAAAGTATATTTGGATGTAAGAGGGACTACTTTTGAGCCAAAAAAGGAATAGGAAAAATTGAAATATGGTTTATGTATGAAGCACAATTAGAGGATGGCTGATTATTGGTTAATCAAATAGTTAATATATTACACATTGTAGTAAGTGGCCATTAAAATTCTTGATAAAAAAAGAAATAATATCTTTACAATGAAAAGTTTAATAAATGGTTATTTTGTTGAAAGAAATTGAAAAAGAAGTTAAGAGGAAAATATTTGAAGCAAATGGAAATAAGAAATTATATGAAAAAGGGAGTAAAGATTGAGTTGTATAATTTTTAGCCATGTTATTTTATTAAGCATAAATCCCTTTCAAAATAGTGAAGTTAAAGAGATCTAATCATATGATAATGATAATTATGCAATTTTGACTAGGGCTTTGATTACCATCATATCATGAGTTGAAAGTTAATTGTGTAAAAGATTATGGAGAATCATTAAAGCTGTGAAATAAATCATTTGAAGAGACAATGGTTGCATTCTCATGTTATATGGGAAAATGATAATGAAGAGCAATTTGCAAGGAATTTAAATTTTATTTTTTAGATTATTTAACATTAGACATTGCATTCTTAAAGCTAATGATATGTTTGAATATTCAAAAAATTCATTGATGCTCATTGAACTATGAGATACATAAATAGAAAAGATTAATTATCTAAGAAAAATACGCAATGGATTTATAAATTACCTTTAAAACTTTATTATTCCATTTGGAATTTATCATTTTTCTTCGTACTAGAGAATGCCAAGGCATTTTCTATAATGTTATTCATGTAGGTCAAATGCTAACAAAAAAAAAGGTGAAACAAATAAACTGGACACCTTATACAGCCTATTACATTGATATGAGGTTAGATAATATTAGGAATTTGAAGTGAAAAATACTATTAGCAAAACATTAAAACTAAATAGCTTTATATATAATCATCAGCTTATTCTTTATATGAACAGAAATATACTATAGTTACCACCCTTATTTGTAAGTAGGTTGATTTATAAGTTCCAATGTTCTAAATAATGTTATTATTACACACAAATACAAAGAGATACTAATTATATCTTTATTATTTTTTTTGTGTGTCCATTGTAATATTCTTCTGATAACATCTGATCTTAATTATTTATGTGGGAGCTATTGCAAAACGGTGGGAGTGAAAGTTTCACGGTATAGAATTTTGTGTATAATAAAATCAAAATCCCATGATCACGAGAGAAGGGGGCAACCTACTTGTGATTTCATCAATTTTTGTTTTCTTTTCATTGTATTTTTCTTTATTATTATGATTTTTCCCTTTTTTATTTATAATTAGGGTACTTGATATTAGGGAATTATTTACGTGTTGGTTATTTGTTGCTTCATGGAATTTTGGTTATTGTTATTGTATTTAGATATTTTGTTATCTATTTTATGCTCTTTAAAATGATGTATCATCTTGCTCAAGAATAGGTGGTGTAACCTCATCGCTGTTAGTATTTTATTATTTTTTGTTTGACTGTTATTTTCAATTTTTACGACAGTTGAACTCCGTCAATATGTTGTATAATTGTATATTTCACCCCATATCCCCTTCCAAATATTTTCAACCTCTCATTTTCTCATTCCCTGGCTATTCCCAATCACCTCCTCAATAACCCCTCTTCCTAAACACTCTCTAGAACCCCTATAACAATGTTAATTGTTGATTTATTCAAGATTAATGTTTTTTTCTCTCTTACAGTTTTTTTTCAAAAGATCGTCCTTAATAATACTTTGTTAGCCTGGTTGGCATTATGACAAGTATGTAAGTTCATTCAATCGAGACCAAGGGAGCATGGAATAGAATTCATCATACTCACACAACTGAGTTGTTTCTTAGACAACAATAACAACAACATCAAGCCTTTATCCCACTAAATGGGGTCAGCTACATGAATCATTTTTCTCTATTGTGTTATATTGAGTGTCATATTTTCATTTAATTCTAATAAATTAAAATCATTTTTATACAATATACCCAAGTATTTTTAGGTCTATGTCTCCCTTTCTTAACATAAGTCAAATTTAAAACATCTACTCTCCTAACCAGATCATCAAATGGACAACATTTAATATGACCAAACCATTTAAGACGAATCTCTCTAATCTTGTCTGCCGGTGGACCTACATTAACCCTTTAATGAATACATTTATTTCACATTTTGTCTCTAAGTTTTAAGTCACTCGTTCACCTAAGCATTTTCATTTCAACAAAGCTTAACTTAGTTTCATGCTTCTCTTTTAAAGGCCAACATTATGCGCCATAAAGCATTGTAGATCTCACTAGCATCTTATAAAATTTTCTTTTAAGCTTAAACAATAGTTTTCTATCACACAATAAGTTCTATCACACAATAATATCACACAATAAGCCTGATGCATTCCTCCAATTCAACCAACCAACTTGAATTCTACTAATAACGTCCTCATCTATGTCACTATCAATTTGAACAATAGACTCGAGATTTCTAAAATGATCACACCTTTTAATGAATTGATTACCAATATTTACAACTCTACCACAAGATCTACTACAATTAAAACTACATTCCATGTATGTAATTTTAGATCTACTCATACGAAGGCCTCTGGAATACAATGTAGACCTCCATAATTCATGTTTTTTCTGAACTTTTTCTCTAATCTTATTCGTAAGAAGGATATTATCAGCTAAAATCAGACACCAATGTATATTCTCTTGTAAATGTCTAGTAAGAGCATCCTTAATTAAACAAAAAAGATATGGGCTTAAAACTGATCCCTGATGTCATCTAACTAAAATAAGAAAAATACTAGGTCAAAACTCATTCTGTTTGAGCACAAGTAACAACTCTAGTATACATATCATTAATGATTTGAATAAAAGTCATATCAACAACTTTCTTTTCTAGAACTCTCTAAAAACCTTCTTCAGGAACCATATCATAAGATTTTTCAAAATGAATAGAAATCATATGTAGATCCTCCATACTCTCTTTGTACTTCTCTATCAAACCTCTCAATAAATGCATAGATTCCATAGTAGACTTGGTCAACATAAATCAATACTAATTATGAGAAATCTTTATATCACTTTTATTTTAATGTTTTTCTTACAAGTATAACAGGTATTAGGAATGGAATGAAGTGGAAGAAACATGGATAAAAAAAAGAAGATTTAGAGCAAAAATCAGTTGTGAAGGTTAGGGCTATGATGCCAAGTATTAGACACCTAGGCGCCAATCAAGCCTGGAACCAGAGAGGCTGGCTCTAAGGTACCATCTACTGAGCACCATGGCCCTAGTTCTGAAGACCAAGGCC